TAATCCTTTTTAGAAATTTTGATTAAAATTTTTTGTTTCTCTGGCATCAACGGGGGACCATAAATTAGTATGTGAAATTTTGATAGTCTTTTATGAGGTGTAAAACACATTGATTTGGAAATTCTTGCAAAAATCAGATTATTGTTACATTTTAATGAAAATTATTTTAGAAACGTTTCTTTTTTTTAGAAATCCTTGGCAACAATATTTCTTTTTTACATCTGTTACCCCAACTTATTTAATTTTATGAAATTTCGAGAAATTCATTTTGTAGAGCTTACTGTTTATATTAGTTAAAAAGGATAAGAAGGAGAATTTAAGTCATTAAATTCTATTTGTCAAACAGTAACAGAAAATATGCTCTGAATCTTACAATAAAAAAATGCAATAAAACTAAGACATTATTTAATTAGAAGAAACTTTTAGTTGCTTTTATATATAAGATATATTATGGACATTTTTCGATGAATAATGAATTTTTATAAGAATTGTTTTGATTTTTTTTAAAATTTTAATTATAATAATTTGTAAAGTTTGAAATCTTTTAAAATTATTTTATTGATTAATTTGTGTTTTACGGCTTATCAACTTTTTCCAGGTTATTTAAAACCAGAAAATATTTTTAAATTGTAAGAATTTTTTTGAAATAATTATGATCTACTGATATGTCCTACTAATTAACCGATAACTGTGGGGGTATAAAAGGTGGATTCATACCACCCCAATGGTATTTGTGTGTAAATGAATATAATGAACCCGATAGGAATTGGAATTCGGGTCATTGATGTTCAATTTTAAGCCGTTATACATTACACCATCTGCACATCCAAGCTTACAGCACCGAGTATTCCTAGATGGTCACTCGCTGACCAGGTTCGACGTGATATGGCCGTAAGCATTTTAAAATTCTGTATCAATTTTTAGCGGTTAGGTGATAGTGTTATTAACTAAAAACTATATTTACTAAGTATAAATAGAAAAGCTTACTAAAATTCAACGACCCTCCAGTACCCTCCAGTAGTTAAAAAATTGAAGTTTTTGTGTATGTATAAACGTGCCGATTTTTGTAAATACGGACGTCCATACATGGCATTATATGAAAATAAGGGCGGCAACTATCACGACCACGCCTCCCATAACCCATGAGAGTCGTAGGGGCATCACATGCACTGCAACCGCAGCAGCAATTGTGTTTCCTGGGCAAGATAGTCTGGCAGTGCCCAACCCTCTCCAGGCTGCTATATATGCAATAACTATAGTAAATTTAAAATTAATTAGTAATTTTCTCACATTTCCTCAACAAGCGTTTTTGTAAGTAAGACTATAAAGACAAAATACTTAAAATTCAATAAAATATTATATTACTTAGAATAGTTTCCTAATTTTTTTAGATTACCGAGTAGTTATATATATATATATATATATATAAAAGGCATTCACATTGTAGACATCAAGTAATTTTAGTTATGTAACCATTACATAATTTGTCAGACATTACATGTAAATAGTGTACATAATACCTCATCTCATAAATATAGACAGATACTCTTGGGACCTGTTATTAAAAGTATGGATACTTACATGCTAGCCAACATCTTAAGACCAATGAAAATAAAGAAAAAAATATACATTTTTCCGTAGCCTTTGTTACTCCGTTCACGTGCTCAAGGCAGGCGTTATATATCTTCATGACCATGATCTTTTCTTCATTGCATTGCCCAACTACCTTTAATTTAATATAACAAGTTTATTTAGATTTACAATAAGCCTTTTTAGCTGTTTCAGTATTACGAACTTTTGAATACTCTTTGTGAACATTTTTATACTTCGTAGTAACTCTGAATTTATTTTCTTGAGATTTTAGGTAATTTGCAGGCCTACTTAATGCTATTACACTCTCTTATCATATAACCCGGTAACTTCCCACCGAAGGAAAGATGTACTAAGAGGGGGTGAAATGCAGGCATCCTGGTCTTTGTGACCACGTGTCCTGGACGAGTTATGTATTGAGTTATGTGCCCATTTATTTTTGTTCTGCCAACTGGACGCTAGTTGGATTTTCCTATCCATTCTTACATCTGGTACTGTTATCCTTTATTACTTCCGGCTACCTTGCATCCTTATTTTTGGCAATCCTGACCTAAACTACTTCCAGCTACCACAGACACTTAATATTCCGGCATTCCTGACCTTTATCACTTCCGGCTACCACAGACCCTTATTTCCCGGTTGTTACGAACCTGTAGCATATAGGTGAACCACGGGTTTAAAAAAAAAAAGAAAAGGAAAACGTGGGATCTTTTCTCGGTCTTTACTCAGGGATGGAAGCGATACAAGGGAGTCAACGAAAAACAAACTCAAGAGGATGGATTTCAAAATATAGTATTTATTCATAAATACAGAAACAGGTAAAGAAAGAAAAAGAAAATTCATTTAACAAAGGGGAAAGGGATCATGAAAGAACAGAAAGTACGAGCGGATACATACATATAAAAAAAGATCAAGCCAAGAAATCAAGTTATCTGTCTTGATGGCTCAGTCGAGTTGATATCTCCATACAGAGTTCTAATTCGCCGAAGCGAGTGTTCGTATGTTAAAACAATATTTTGTTGACCGGCAATTTTCCTGGTCGGGGGTCCACAGCATCTCGTACAGGCGTTCGTTGGCCGATTCAGTTACGTAGCAGTCTTTTCATTCTGTAATCGACAGACTTTGCTATCTTTATTTTGATGGGCAGTCCATTTGGAATCGGCACGATTCGCTCGGCCATGTTTATCTGCCACTGGTCAGACGGGAAACTGAAAACATTTTTTTTAGATTTTTGCTGTTCCCGAAAATCGTCATGTGGGTTCCCTTCGACCTTGATCAAGGACGCAGGAGGATGGGTACAAAACACGAAGTGTTTGCGTGATGGCCAAAGATTTAATCAACCCTCAGTATGGTCTGATCACGTGATCGCAACAGGAGAGCTTGATGGTGCCTGGAGTTCACTTATGGTTAACCGCCTGATGGCAGCGTGATTTTGGAACCAGGTCATTCTCGGGGCAGATCGCTTCAAAGTTTACGGGCCCTTGGCTTGTAGGTGGAAGAGAAGGTAAAGACGGAAAGAATATGAAGAGAAGAGGGGCATATGGCTGATCATAGAACATATTCGCTCGCAAGTTGAAAACATTGGATTTTATTTATTTTTTATATCTATTTTTCGACTAGTTTGACTAGAATTTGGGATTTTTCTTCGTGGGGTGGGGGCTTCTTAGCCTTACGCCTATATGGCTAATAAAATCGTAGGTACGTCACACGGTATACTTGGCCTTCATTACATACGGCACTTAATACAACCCTGGTTGATCTGCGTTAATGAACCCGCTTACAACAGCCCTGAATTTCCGGCTATTAATTGGTCCCTACTTCCGGCATCTGTATCTCAACCTAACTCACCTGGTTGACCGGTGTTAGTGGACTTGCTTACAAGCGCCCTGAACTTCCGGCTACGCATAGATTCCTGCTTCCGGCTTTCCTGTACACGTATTTCATCTGGTTTTAAAAAAAAACTGTTGCATGCATATCGTCCAGGCTCAAACAACCTACTTCGTACACTCCAGTCAAAATACTACGAAAGGTTCACCATTGGACTTAACCAGAAACTACTCAATGCCAGCACCGGACATTTAAATGGAACTTTATTCTCTTTGGCTATATCATCTAGACTTCAAATAACCTACTCCGTATACTTCGGTTAAAATACTACGGAAGGTTCATCAGTGGACTTAACTAGAAACTTTTCAACACTTTCACCGGACATGGGAGCTGAACTTTCGAACTGTGTACTTAAATGCCCGCTTAACTTACATGGACTCTACTATTAACATTTAGTCACAGTTATATTATCAAGATTTTCTAGCCAGTCAGTATTCCTCAATTTACTTAATTCTGTCTCTATTACTTGTTTGTTCATGTTCCTTAAATCCAAACACATACTTTTGTAGATGATATAAATAAATTTTGTATCAACTTTATGTTTGTCGTTTGTTGTCTTCTTGTTGGCCTTTGAGATTCATGTCTTTTCTTTTAAAAATGTTAGTGGGCCCTTGTGACATCTTTACCTTATCGAGACGCACAGGCCATGTTATATCCCCCCCTCCTTCCAGGGGGTCCGCTACAAGGCGCAACCACTTATTTGTACAGATCTCCGAAAAATGAAATAAGAAAAGGAAAAATAAAAATTGAAAAATTTTAACATTTAATATGGAAAATTTGGATACTGGGAAATTATGCTAAATGCTACCTGGTCAAAAGTTTAAGGCAATATTTAAACGAAGTTTTAATCGGTAAACAATTTAATCATTTGTGTTCAAGCATTAGCGCAGTCAACATCTCCCACTGCTATCTCCTTCGTTACATTAGGTAAAAAAAACATGGTAATGGCTAAAAAGTTGACAGAGCTTGAACGTGACAGAATTGTCGAGCTGCAAATGTAAGGCCTCTCTCAACCATTTCATTTCCAACCTTTGTTTTGGTTATCCCTCATGCAGTAACACACTCTAGGTCACAACACTATAGTTGCACCATTTTTTGCTTTATTTTCATTTGCCTTAATATTTTGGCCAGCAGTGTATATCTTTTCTACTTTTGATACTATTGTGGGAACCTAACCTACCTACAAATGGGCTATTCCACACTTATATAATGTGGCTACCAACTATGAGTTGGGCAGCACTAGTAAGAGAAGGTACTCTCCTGTCCGCGTTTACTGTTGTACTTCTTTTACCTAGAATACATTATTAAACCTTATATCCGAGTCCGAGTTATCTTTTATGGTCCACACCATAACAGATACCTATTTATATTTTGTTAATATCTTAAAAATATACATTCAAATTACATGCCTTTGGTGAACATGGTACGTGGAATCATAAGCTTGTATTCATATTCAACACTCGAATGCACAGAGCAAATATAGGACAGGATAAAACCTGTTTACAAAAGTGTGAAATATATTGATGTCCTTGGACAAAGATACATATGAACCTGATCAAATATACACAATCTATCAAGAATATGCGAAACGATTGTTATTATCTCGGAGACATGTGCGGCTATAAGGAACCTTATTGCGCAGTATATCTGTGTAGGCATACAAACATACTCGCATAAATTAATTCATTCGGAAATGAGATGCCAGTGAGAGATATTTTGTATGCAACACATGCACAGAAACGAAGATCGGGTTCCTTTACTGATGTAGATACCTTCAAAACTAGCCGATACATTTTTAAAATGGAAAACCTTACTTGAAGTTTTTATTTTAGTTTCAATTCCAAGCTAATAGATTAAATTTAATATTTCCAATAAACAAAATACTTTGCTGTATTTCAAACTGAATTTAAATTGATTGAAATGTTTCATGATTATAAGTAAAATCGATCAAATCCTCCATATTGACAAATCTGTAAACACAACATAATTCTCTTTATTAAAAAGCCTTTAAAAAATAAAATATACTTTTCTGAAACGTTATTTAGAGAAAAAATAGATTCAAAATTCAATCTGAATTGCAACAAATATTACTTACTTTATGTGTAAAAAAACGACTCCTAGAGGCAGTGATCACTGTAAAGAGCCGATAACTCTATGCTTGCAGCTATATTGTGTTACTTTTGCATTTGCAATAAGCGAACAAGTAATGTTCACGTATCGTGCATTTTTTAATTTTTTTTTTTAATTTCAAAGTAAACGCATCACCCCGATCTATCAACCCTGCCTAGCAAAGAGTCCTGATTTGATTGCTTGTTTTCACTCAAGGCTGAAATCACCGTTGAAACGCTACAAATGAGATTAAGGGGAACGTGAAGAAGTAACTGATGTAAATTACGAAAGGAGATTTGGCAAACAGTTTTTGAAGTTTAACTAGCGACAAAGTTTCATATTTCCGGATCTTCTTCAGGTGTAATTTGAAGATCCGATAGGGGAATATAACACCCGTTCAATGTTAACAAAATGTAGCCTACTTCGGTCAGTGGCACCTTAGTCCATTTCTAAGTACTCCTCTTAGATCTCCAGACACTTATCAGATCGTCTCTTCCAGCTTCGGGATCGCTATCAGCTGCTGCATCCTGTTCTCTTTAATCTCATCCACAATCATAAATATCTCCTTCAACGGCGATTTATATTTAGGGCTCCTCAGTAAAGTTTCTATTTTCGAATTCTTCCACATCCAATAACCCCCTGTGTTCTAGTGGCTTTACTGCCTTGCTTGGGGTGAAATCGATAAAAAAAAGTCATATATTTGATTCCAGTGACGCTGTCTAATCCTGGTGATGCAATATTTTGGAAAATGAAAAAGTACGGATACTTTCCATACAGTGTCCGGGATGCCCAGATTTTCATATAATTCTTTCATTGTCAATTGTCAGTTTCCTTTGATTGCAACCTGCAAATTTCAACATTTTCGAGTCTTATGTAATTTCTTTCTATCTATCAGTGTATGTTAGAAAAATGCATGAGGTTAACCAGTGAAGCATAATGTATTTTAAGCCTTCTATTCCAGCCACAGAAGATCGAGACTCAGACAAACACAGAAAGTCATTTTTGGATCTGGGCACCCCCAAATTGCTTGGATTGCTTTCTTGCACAACTTTGAAGTGCCAGTAGTCACAAAGAATAAAATCTAAAGTGCAAGGGGTTACCATACCTGTAATATTTTGTTCAAAATGTCTTCGCCTGGTTGCAATAATTGGTAATGGAAATATTTAAAATTGCTGAATACTTTTGGACAGTCCATGAAATTCATAGCTGTTCTTCGAATTCTTGCATTGTTAGTCACCGATTGCTTTCGATTGCAGACCGCACACGTTAAACATTTTCAAGCATCTATCTATCTATCTATCTATCTATCTATCTATCTATCTATCTATCATCTATCTATCTAACATTTTCAAGTATTCTGCTTGTTGAAAGCCTTCTAGAATACGGATTGCATTCAACAGATTCTTGATAATTTTAGAATCGATAGTGAATATTTGTTTTTATTTGGACTAAGCTCACTGAATACTTCCTACTGTAGAGTGACTTTGATCTTAAGCAAAACTCACCGATACTTGGGTCCTAGTATTTTTAAACGTACTATGGCAGTCAAAAATAGAATTCATTTTCTAACCTAAAATTTTACTTGGGCAATATATTCTTATAATTATAAGTAAAAGATATCTACATCTTTTTTTATTCAAGTAACAGTAAAGTATTTTAGATATACTGGTTTATTTAGAACCTATCATATTTACACTAACATTAGTAGACCAAAAAAGTATTCATCAAACGAGACAGGGCAACATTGAGAAGAAAGTAATCCTAATCCTTGTGACATCTCGTGTCAGATTATTTACTTATTGGCTTTTGTCTTTAAAATAGGTTTATGATCCTCACCTTCACAAATTGTCTACCTGGTCTCAAATCCATTGTTTTATCACTTAATTATAGCAGAACTTTCACATCGATCGATCTATCTATCTATCTATCTATCTATCTGCACTGTCAGATATTATTATGGAAATCAATATTTTCACAATAGAATTGGTATTATTAACTAACCAAGATTGGTAAACTTTCAGAATATATCTATTAACAGGATATATATATATACCACGTGAATTTTAGCTTATATACTGTTAGAAATATTTATGATAGCTTATTTGGTGGTGTGATATTTTATTATGCAACTTATTGTAAATAAATATATATAGTAGTACATTTACTGATAGTTATTTTTTCTTTCAGATATGTAAAAAATTGGTCGTAAACAACAATATAAGCTGAAATAAGAGATAAGATAATGTAAAGTGACAGGAACAACAATAGAAAACTGTGAAAATGTTGAAGAGAGATCTACAGAAAACTTTTAAGAAAGAAATTGAGAACATTAGCAAGGAAAAAAGTGGCTTTAAGGATTTCACAAAAATATCTGAGAAAAATTAAATGGACAGTCCATGAAATTCATAGCGTTTCGCTTTTACGTTCTCTCGCGGCCACTGACCACCTTCTCATCACCGATATGTTCCTGCCCGGCCTATTGACCAACTTGCTGCGTCGATACGACCATAAGCAAGAAATGTATATTGACCATTAAGAAAATATTTGAAGAAGCTAGTGTTTCAAATGTAAACAGAGAGAAAATATATTATATTTATTAAAGGGATTAATTGAAGGTATGAAATCAACTAAGCAATCACCTTTAAATTGACATCACAAAGAAATCTCTTTGATGGCTAGGCTAGAGATTGGGCCCTTCATGAAAACAGTCAAGCAATACGAGTTATAATGAACAATAGGCAGACAGAGTAACATCATAGATTAGTATTGGAAAAGAGATAAGGAAACTGAATACAGAATCGGCTGTTTTAAGGGTAGTTTCGCTTAACAACTTAAGATGCACTAAAAACCAGATTGACAGATTGAGGCTCTCAATGGGATGTCAGACATATTACTAAACTTCTTCAGAAATATCAAAACTGTCCGCTCTATTCAACACCTTTCTGAGATCAATGATTAATTAGGATTTCTAGAGAATGAATTATGTAGGTCAGGGAGAACGGCATTCATCTTCAAACCACAAATTTGTGGGTGTGCGAGCACGCGGGTGGGTGGAGATTGTAGACAAGGATGTATTGAAAATTTTCCCAGCATTGATTGGTTAATACTAATTTGATTGTGAAAACGCTAATATCCATATAAAATCTAAAGTATCGTATTTTTTTATCTCTGTTCATATCTATCTATCTATCTATCTATCTATCTATCTATCTCTCTCTCTCTCTCTCTCTCTATCTCTATCTATATATATATATATATATATATATATATATATATATATATATATATATGTCTGTTCATATCTATATTAGTTTTTTCTATCTATCAGTGTACGTTAGAAAAATGCGTGTGGTTAACCAGTGAAGCATAAGCCTTCTAGTCAAGCCACAGAAGATCACGACCCAGATAGATCCAGAAAGTCATTTTTGGATCTGGGAACCTCCAAACCTTTTTATTACATAAATAAATTGTAATTGTTTCTTCGCTTTACCTCATTTCGAATAATGGGGAGAGACCTGTACTATTGTAGTTATTTCATAAAAGCAAAATGGTGTAAGGCAAACTTTCGAAAGTGAGGGATATATGTAACTCGTTTTATAATATTAAACGAAATTAGTTTATTTTATTTAAAAAAGGGGAAAACTGCTTATCTCTGTCTTAACGTATTAGTGAAAGGCTTTAATCAAGAAAGTTGCTTCTTTTATATTTACTAGTTTGCTGATAGCAAGATGGTCAGATTTCAAATCTAAATTGATTAGTGAAAAGCTTTAATCAAGAAAAAGTTGCTTCTTTTATATTTACTAGTTTGCTGATAGCAAGATGGTCAGATTTCAAATCTAAATTGTATTGCAGCCCCCGCTGGCCACTCTTAAACAAAACAAAATAGGACGATCTTGACATTCGCAAACCTTTTACTCCCTGAATTGAATCAGCAGTTAATTAGCAATTAAAACAACTATCCTGATATATTTTGAGTTAGAAACATACCGTTAAGTATATCGGATACGGAAGTGTTAACCAACATATGAACAGAATTCGGAGTATTTTTTATATTTAGCGTTTTCTACTCCCAGTAGCCAGGGAGTAAAAGGACAAACGTTATGGACATAAATTTGGCCCCTTTTTTGTAATGAAAAACCAGAGGATCATTGTGTTTATCTGTGCGTTGCCTTTGATCTCCCGGTGTCCCGCTGAGGGATACTCTTCAGCGTGATCCCGTCTTCCGCAGTTGATACGCCCTGTAAGGTGTATCATCTCCACGACTCGGCCCTGTTTAGGGAGGAGATTTCCATCTACGGATTGGTACATCTCCGACAATTCGCCCGGATTTTTGAAGCAGACGGCCAAGAGGCAGGAGGTTTCCAACCTTCGTGTTGGATTATCTCCGACAATTCATCCGAATCGTTGAAGTAGATGTCCAGGAGGCAACCATTTCAGCTCCCGTTTCGCTTTTACGTTCCCTTGCGGCCACTGACCACCTTCTCATCACCGATACGTTCCTACCCGGCCTATTGACCAACTTCCCGCGTCGATAGGACCAGTCAAAACACACCTCAACTTCCCGTCGTCGATACGTCCAGTCAGTCGACACGACCGGAACGACCACACCTCAACTTCCCGTCGTCGACACGTCTAACCGTCGACACGATCAGAACAACCACATCTCAACTTCCCGTCATCGACACGTCCGGTCCGACCACACTTCAATTACCTGACCACGAAGCCCAAACCATAATCAACTTACCTCCCAACGGCTTCACTAAAGATTACCGGACCAGTTTACCCGAATTTGATAATTCATTTAGGAAATCTTTTTCTGTTTTCTTTGTACCAAAAACGCACGTCGTTTTAACGAAATAACACTGATGTTTGGTTAAAATATAAACCTTCACCTTTTGTTTCCTCATTGATCGGCTATTCACACCTTCCTTCGAATACAAATTAGATTGTGGGGTCGACATCCTTTATCTGCCCCACAACAATTATCTGTCTATTTAAAAAACTACATTTATTAGAAAATATATTAAATTTAAATACAAAGGTAGTAAATTTATATATAAAAGAACAGCTAATTCTCTGTCCGTTACACACTGCGTAGTAAAATGACTTCAAATGGTCGCATATTTCAGTTTATCCTTTTTTCCTGTTACTCATGACAGAAAGGGAAATTAACCCGCCCAACCAACACAGATGTCCATTTCATTTAAATTGTGTTTATTTATGGTTGCATGTGCGCACGCATATATATTTTAACTCTATGACAGACCTAAAAATATTTCTAAAAAATTTTTAAAAAATTAAAAGCCCGTAAGAAATAAATTTTACACCTAATAAAAAGCCCAAGTGCCTCTCAAGGTAGTGGGTTACTAAGTGAAATTTTTAAGATACAGAGAAGAGGGAAGTAAGAGTATTAAATGGACGAGTAGGATAGATATCGGTTGATCCTGGACTTAAAGAGACCAAGGTTGTAGTTGTCAGGGAAGAATTCTCTCAGGAGTTTGTTCCACAAAGTAATAGTTCTGGGGAAGAAGAACACAAAGGGTATGAGGATGGTCTGCCACCGTGAACACAGCATGGCAGGTCCTAGATGTGACGGTCCGAGTTGGTGGAACTAAGAAATGTAACTCGTGCGGACTTCTGCACTAATAATTAGCGATAAGAGATGCAGAATAATTCATCGCCTAGAAGACCGCGTAAGCGCTTTTGGACTTTGTCGAAGTTGGACAGGGAGAACTGGACAGAACCAGCCCAGATATAACGGCCATACTCCATTTTTGGTATAAAGGATACAGTATAGTAGTAGGAGTTAGGTATTTATTATAGTGATACAATGAACCGACCATTCTTCCAGAATCTTTTGCAATGGCACAAATATACGCGTTCCATTTGAGGACGGCAGTAAGGTTTAGCCTCAATAGGCGTTCGAGGCAAGGAGTCACTTTGAAGGTATGATCACTCATAGGGATTGGTGCAGGTTTAGGGACTGCTTGGTGGTGATGAAATATTCCGAATTTAGTTTTGCACGTATTGAATGATATCAGCCAGTCTTTTTTCCATTGTGCTGTGAGAGCCAGATCAGAGAAGAGATCAGCTGCCAAGCTCTAGTCAAGATATTTGGAGATGTACTCATACACTGTGATATCATCTGCATATATATTTACTAAGAATCTGAGAGTGCTCTGTGGCAGATCGTTGATATAAAGCAGAAAAAGTGTATGTCTGAGGAGAGTACCGGGGGGGAGCGTGTTTCAAATGGCACAAATACATGTAAGCCACACACGCACAATGCAGACATACAGATATACATTATGTACGCGAACGTAAAGTTACACACAGGCAGTGTGTGACGGACAAAGAATTAGCTGTTCTTTTATATATAGATTTACTCATTGTTTCAAAATTCACGCGAACAATTTCTTATACATCGTTTTTATATAGGTAACTCCCCTGCAAAAAAGCGATACCTAAGATTTGAAATACATGTTGAAAATGCAAAAAAATCTTTCTTGAAGCTTTTACTTTATTTTTAATTACAAGCCAATAGATTAAACTTCAGATTTTCAATATAGCAAAATACTTTATTGTATTTCAAAGTGAATTTAAATTAATTGGAATGATTTTAGTCTTGAAAATCGGCCATATCGACAAATCTGTCAACACAACATAATTCACTTTATTAAAAAATCTTTCAAAAATAAAATATACTTTTCTGAAAATTCATTTGAGTAAAATTAACTGATTTAAAGTTTAATTAATCTGAAGTAAAACAAATATTACTTGTAGTTTAAAATATTGCAGAAAAGCATTTTAATGCAGAGGTGGGTGATTTATGAGTTGTTGACAGATTTATCGATAATGTAATGTTGTGATAAGTATGGCAACAAAGATGACAATAGTCCGAATAATGTAAATAGTGTCCTCATATGGCACAGTAAATAAAGGCATTGGTTAAATCTAGAGACAGGACCCAAAGAGTTGTTAGTTCAATACCTGGTTAAGGCAGTGGAGAACTTAGAGAGGGGAATTAACAGGAGATAACTGATAATTGACATGTCACGTGGAACTAGAACGGTCTACCCCAGCGAGCGAAACAAAGGGTTCAGTTCGACATTCCAACCACATGAAGAAGGCTGGAGCGTACATCGGCCGAAACGTTGTGATGAGTATGGCAACAAAGATGAGGACAATAGTCCGAATAATGTAAGTAAGTCCCAAGAGTATCAAATAAAAGGGGAGTGCTGTAATATACGGAGGTGATTGGAAAAATGAGAAAATAAACGTTGGTAGATTTTGAACAGAAATGGAAAAATGAGAAAATCTAATAAACGGGGTGGTTGAGAAATTATTAAAACACTACTTTCAATCTATCGAAGAAATAAAACTAAAAACAAATGTTCATCAATGTCTTTAAGTAAGATGATTTAACACTTTCGAAAATATTTGTAATTTCCAGCAAGGGTGACTGAGAGTAGTAAAAAATTAACAAATGGTGAGGAGAGGGCGTTTATTTAGAACCCGAGAGTAAAGGACAAACGCACCATTGCTACCTGTCCACCGCTTTGGGCACCATGACTTTGTGTAATGCTTAGCAAGTTTGTCTCGTTAGATCCATCACGACTAAGTAGTGAGTTCGATCCTCACTGAATGCTCCATACTTTCGGCCTTGTGCTCAGTAAATCGCTATCCACCGCTTTGTGGCAGACATCCAAGATGATTTCAGTCTCGTCCCCAGAGTGTTTTTGATATGTCCCAGAAAGGGATATATTTGTTCGAAGTAGCAAAGTGGTTTTGGACTACTGCAACCGAGGTAGAACAATCTAGCAGGTAACCATAATGGGCTGGTCCTTGTCATAGTGATAGGCAATAGGCGTAGTCCTGAGCCTCCACATCAGTCTGTATTTATGGCTGACACCAGTCAATAATATTACTATGAGGGGGAATCCAGGTGTATGCATATTCATTACATCAGTTTTGAATGGAATAGCGGCAGACATTAAGTCAGGGATTTCGCGATTAAGAATTTGAACACTAAAATTAGTTTATCATTTTCACGGGGTGGAGGTAAATGATTTTCAGGGAGTGACTGCCTCCTCTGAGCTTCCACCTTGGCGACGGGCTTGGATTAGTTGTAAATATTTAGTTAGCTCAGTGTAGTACCAGGGCACAGTATTACATTACGGCATCTAACATATTGTAATGGTAAATAAGTTCCTCCCACATACCAGTTTGTGAGTGTAATATAGTTTTCATGTTTATTGGTTACCTTCACTATTGTGGCCTTGTGTTGGACTAAACTAGAATTAGCAAAAAAATTTTTTTTACATGGAACTGGCATCAAGAATTGGTTGGGAGGCTCACACAATATCTTAGAAATAAATGTACTGCAAAGAAATTAAAAAAAAATGTGTTTTTACTGTAAAGTGTAAAAGTTTCATAAAGTTAATCGGATTCAAAGAAGCAGATACAAAAATGAAACTGCAGGAACTAGAGAAAGTAGTAAAGAAAAGCGAGAAGAAAAGATATAAAAAAATTATTTTTTTATTACTGTTAGTCTTTCGTACAATAATAACAAAATAACATAAGTACAAAAAATTGTTACACGTGTATATCTTTTTAGGCTCACCGGTTAAAACCCGCCAAAATTGTTAAGGATCCATTTCAAGTTTACGGAAAATTACTTATTTTCGTATATTTTGGCCAATGAGAGACATAGTCTCAAGCCATTGTGAAATCTTGAAGGGAAGTGGTGGGTTTGTGTGATCCTTTTTTTTTTTTTGCATAAATAGAACTCAGATCAGTAGACAGAGAGCAGAAAACGTTTGACATAAAGGAGAAGATATTTTGACATCAAGAGGAGAGCAACAAGAAGGCACAGAGTTACAAGCCTGTTGCAGAAAGCCCAAAAGAATTTTGAAGTTCAAGTAAAAATTCTCTAGCGGTTATACAAAAAAGAATTCAAAGAAATTTTCCTAAAAGCCTCAGTGAAAAAGGTACAGTGTGAATATAAAAAAATACAGTTGTTATATGTCCCACAGACGTTCATGGGACAAGTAAAAGTAGTAGGGGTTTTTTTTTTTTTTTTTTTTAGCTTTTTTTAAAGGGTGGTTGACCTTTGTTTTTCTGCCTTATTGCTTTCTCTTTTTGTCATTTTTGAAATCGTAATTTTTCTATTTTCGATGATTAATCTTTTTTGGTAATATATCTGTAAATGTTATAGTCTTTAAATTATTTATAAGGCACACAAAAGGAAATTTTTGTGCAAGAATCTTATGTAAATTGTTTGTATTTGTATTTTCTTTTTCTGTATACTGCAATAAATGTTTTTGTTAAAATGCGACGCAGTGCTTTGAGTTTCGATCACGCCTTATACAACAACTTTCCATTCCTACTAACTAGGTTTTTCTGTATAGCACAAGAATTTATATTTAGTAGGCTGTTTATATATATATATATATATATATATATATATATATATATATAAAGATTAACCACCAACTGTAAGAAAACAGAATGTATGCTTCTCAGCAAGAAGAACATCTCAAGATGCGAACTACAATTCGTAAATGACAAAATCAAGCAAGTACGAAAGTTAAATATCTGGGAAATGTTTTAACAGGGGACAGAAATTGTGATCCGAAGGCACCTTGGACGCATCGTTCGGTTCACACACCTTTCTGATCTTTTGAACCGGAATAGAAGATTATCCATTGTTTCCTGTTTAGGATTGGGTTTCCAGTTCCTTCTAAAGTCTTTTTTCATTCTCTTTCACTCCCAGTAGCCCTTTGCATCTTAGTCGCATTATCGCCTTGCTTGGGGTGAATTGATTAAAATAAACAAATTATAGCAAAAGATGCCATTCAAAACCTAAGCAAAGTATTAAGAAACAGGAAATTTTTGTTAGAAACAAAGAAAAACACGCAGAACAGTTATGTAACATCATTCCTCCTATATGGCAGTGAATACTGGACAATCACCTCACAGATAAAGACGAGACCTGAGGCAACAGAAATGTGGTTCTACGGAAGGGTTTTGAGAATACCATGGACTGAACATATGAGTAACGAGAAAGTTTTCAAGAAAAAAAAAAGAAGAAAAAAACACATACTTAGAATGAGAAAGAGACAATGGTTCAGTGGGTAAAGGCGTTGGTTTCTGAATTTGATGACATAGTGGTTGTGAGTCCAATCCCTGGGTCGAACAGTATGTACTTACACTCTATGGAAACGGACGATCAATAACTGAACCGTGTTAAATAAAATAAGAACTAGACAATATCCCTAGACATGATCAGTGGAAGAAGAACAGTCTACCCACGTAGATTAAATAAAGGGTTCAGTTCGAAATCCCTTTTAGGCTATTCAGATCGATAGACACCTGAGGAAGGCTGGAGGATACAACGACCGAAATGAGAAGAATAGTCCAAATATAAATAGTATACAGTTGAAAATTTCTATGACGCATAATAAGGAAAGAGGACTTGGAGTAATCTGCCTAAGGAACTTGTGCAAAAGGAAAACGGATGGATGGTGAAAAGAGAAGCCTTCTGCCTTACTAAGAACTACAAAAGGTAGGAAGTTGGGGAGAATTATGATCGCTCATGTCCTGAAGGTACACAGTACATAGAAGAAGAATGAAGATAATCTTCCTCTCTAATCTTGTCAATGCACCTAATCAAAAACTTCTCCATAGATCATATCGATCGGACATTACACTGAAAATTCTTGCTTAAAATATTAACTGAGTCAAGTGACGGATTTATTGTTCTATCTTCATAATTGATTGATTTTTTTAGTAGCTTTTTTTATTGCTTATCAGCCCTTTGTGGGTTAAAGTCGAAACCTATTTAGGATATTTGAAACCTCAAAGGAAGCGATGGTTGCCACTCTGAAGTCTTTCTCGGGAAGCAGTAGTGGAGGTGTGGACGGCCTACGACCTGGTCACATCAGAGACAACATGCTCACGACTTAATATTTTCAGCCAACTAACGGCTTTAAAAAAGAATTTGGAGATATCCGCCCTATCGCTGTTGGTAACATTTTTCATCGAGTCGCGGCAAAAATTGCTTGTAGGGTTGTTTCGAAGGAGATAAGGCATGAATTGCGACCTGTCCAGCTCGGGGTAGAGATACAGGGCGGATGGGAAGCGCGGTTCATGCCACAAGATCATTTTTCGAGAATACATCACCAGTTTCCCCACGTATCTTATTAAAATTGGATATGAAAAACACTTTCAATAGCATCAGAAGCTATTATGCCCTAGAAGTTTGCCACCAACGGACTCCTTCCATACTTCAACCGGCTTCGTATAGTCATCCAAGTATGTTGATCGCCTCTGATAATATTATCTCTTCTGCTACCGGAATCCAGCAAGGTGATCCACTTGGTCCGCTACTATTTACGATGGCTGTTGACGGGGTAGCTCGTTTCATCGCCTCTCCTTTTAACATATAGTATCTTGACGATACAACGCTGGGAGGACCCATTGAAGCCGTAGCTGCTGACCTCGGGGGAGTTATTCCTGCTTTACTGCTTGGACTTGAGATTAACTCGTCCAAGTCGGAAATAATAAACTTGAATTATAGTGCAGATGATTTCGAGAGTGTTATTCGGGATATTAGACTCATCCTTGAGGATATAAAAATAACACCTAAGGAGGAATTATACATTCTTGATTCTCCAGTCTTTCCAATGGCTATTCGAGTGTGTTTAGATATTAAGCATGTCATTCTAACAAGAATGACTGAGAAATTGCAATTAATTGATGCACACCCAGCCCTCTTCCTCTTGAAGAACAGTTTTTCGCCACCGAGTTTCCTCCACACTCTCCAAAGTGCCCCTTGCTACCTCGAACAGGATTTTTAAAACGAGATGGATATCACAATTAAGAGATGCGCGGAGTTAATTTGTAACGCTAATTTTGACGACACAGGCCGGAGGCAGGCGAAGCTTCCTTTGAGTTTCGGAGGCCTGGGCCTTCGATCAGCGGCAGACTTGGCTTTTCCATCATATCTTTCTTCACTTTCTTCCAGTCGTGAATTCATTGATGAGATACTTGGTGGATCGTCTCATTGTTTCTCGGGTAGTTCTTTTGAACAAGCTTGCAGCGTCTGTGCCCAAGAATGGCTTTCTATCCCACAAGACACATCAAAACAGAAAAGCTGGGATAAAATAACATGCGAGGCTAATTTTACTAATTTGAAGCTCTCCTTGATCAGCGCTGCCTCGCCAGTCTACTATCTGCTTTACAACCGAGCAGTGGCGCCTGGCTCAACGCAGTGCCCTCTTCATCTACCGGTACCCTTCTAGATGATGAATGCACTCGGGTCGGAGTTGCGAACTGTCTTAGGCTCAAATTATGTGAGCGTCAGTGATGCAAATGTGGAGCCCCCATTGATGAGATTGGTTTGCATCCTCTCTCCTGTCGTCGTAGTGCCGGCTGCTTTCCAAGGCATGCAACAATAAACGACATCATTAGAAGAGGTCTGGATGCAGCTGGGTCCCCTTTCCAAATAGAAGCCGTAGGCCTCGACCGTGGTGATGGAAAGCGGCCGGGTGGCATTACCATTTTCCCTTTTAAAATGGGGATGTCATTGGTTTGAGATGCGACCTGTGTCGATACATTTTAGGCCGGTAATTTGATCAGGTCCGCGGTTGAGCCGGGGTCTGTCGCTCGGGACGCGGAGATAAAGAAAAATAGTTAAATATTCTTCTCTTGCTGACAGTTTTTTTTTTTTTTTACTCCTGTGGCAGTGGAGACTTCTGGGGTTATTGGTCCTCGTTCGATGGCATTCCTTCGGAGGGTTGGCGGGATGGCGTCTCGATTAAGGGACGAGCCTCGCGAAACGGAGTGGAGCTTGCAGTGTCTCACTGGCGATGGTGCAAGGTAATGCTTTCTTCATCATTGCGGCTGGCAGAGGATAGCAAAAAAAATTGTTTATAGATACTTTGTTCAAATAAATGTAAATTAATATATATGTGAATAAAAAAATTCAAATATTTAGGATTGTAGGATTTTTAACCAGAGTGTTTCCAAGTAGTCCCCTATCTAAGTACTGACCGAACTAGACAATGCTTAACCCCGATGATCGAATGAGAACGGGCGTTTTCAGTTTCTACCTTTACTAACTATAATGAATAAAAAAATAATTGACGTTGAAAGCGGAATCGGCAGCGTGCCGAATTCAAATTCCGGTCTAGTCTACTGCGTTCACACTGATAACCTTGGGAAATAGATGAATCCATCTCCTTTTCATTCATTCATACATACAAACTCCACTCCAGCTATAAGTTGGCAGTGTAGACTGGGATCTCTACCCTTGGGTGGCAACTAGTCTAGAAAAAAGAAAACCCTGAATTGTAGAAAGCAACGGGAAAACATTTAAGAAGCCACAACAATTCACCACAAGTAATAAAAAAAAAATCTGGAGAGAGATATGAATCGTCTATGTTCAGAAAGGAGGTGACATTTTAAAATAAATATATAAGTAAATTTTAATACACTAGTGAATTACTCTTAAAATCGTTTAAGTTAATCGTTCAAATTAGAATCCATTTACACTTTCATGATAAAAAGTAATTACTATTGACTAATTACTCTGGCTGAAGTCGACAGTTTTCGCTTGCATCATCACAATCCAAGGGGGAAAACTCTGTCGACCCATAAAGCTCGTCTATCAAGAAGGAAATGCTTAACACTTAACTGTTGAAATCAAAGTATTTATTTTAAATACAATATCATCTCGTCATTCATTTTATTTAAGTAATATAACAACCACTTTTTCCTAGGATACTTAATTTTGGGAGTGGAATCAACTGTTGATTAATTAAAAAAGAAAAAGCAAATCGGCATCATCTGGGCTTGAACACTAACCTCTGGTATTGATTGGAAATTTAAAACCCTGAGTTCATGTTTACCAATTTAACATGAATTAAACTTAAATACAATATAGTTAGTGTTAATTTTGTGTTTCCTCCACTTTTTTCTTTTACTAAGTATTTTCTTCTTATATTATTTTGATTAAAATTATTACTATTTTATTTATTAGCACTCTCGATTTTCTATCTGCGTATTAAAATCATCTGTAATGTCTATTTTGTTTATTTTTTTCACACTTTTTTCAAAATATTTTGTTGCTAATTTTTTTTCCTTGAACATTGATTTACTGTGATCCTGCTTTTTTCATAACAATATTTTATGAATATTAGCAATTGCATTTTAAAAGGGTCAGTCTAAACATATCTTTCTCAACTAGAGGTACAATTTTTAATTTCATTAGATTTGAACAAAGGCTGGCACAAAATGACACTTCTGAAGCATTCATTCAATGGCTTGTGAGACTAGCAGGTAATCAAATACATAGGAAAATTTTAGTCCATGGAATCCTTCCAGTTTGATACCAGACAAATATTGGGGTTGGGTGGGGGGTAGCACAGCATTTAAAAAACGAAGCTTCTTTACTAATTCTTATTTTCAATTTTATTGTCCTTTATATTTGTATAAAGTCCCTAAAAAACTTAATTCCTACCACTGAAAATCAGTTATTTTCAATGCTTTTGTCATACATTACTAAAATTAATATGTAATGTTTTATATAGCCAAAACATGAAGTGAAACCCTTAATAATGCACTTACAATTGTTTTGTAATATCTCTATTCTATCAGTAATGTTTAATTCCTGAACACTGACAATCCCTTTCTTGATGGTTTTTAATACATAATGTACTGACTACAAAAACAATCTTTAAGTCAAAAATTGCTATGTATGCAAGCAATAAGTAAACAATATAAAAAAATACCACATGAAATATTTAGCTTGTTCATGCAAAAAATGACTGAAGCTTGACAAAAAAGTGAAGTAGCAATAAAATCAGTGGACATGTCTAATAAATTCATCCTGTAATATTATTGATTATATTATTAGTATTTAAGCATTGTAGCAAAGAAGAGGTCAGAATGTGAACCCTGAGTCTGGATATTCCAAGATTCATGGATCAGAGGTAACATAAAATGCTAATATTTAAGTAATAAGCTTGTATGAAAGAAAAGGTCAGAATGTGAATCCTGATACTCCAAAATTTATGGATCACAGGTTACATAAACAGCTAATATTTAAGTAATGGGCATTGTAGCAAAGAAGGGCTCAAAATGTGGAGCCTGGGGCTAGATATTCCAAGATTCTTGGAGCATAGGTTACATGAGCAGCTAGTATTTAAGTATTATGCTTGTGGCAAAATATAGCTCAAGTTAGAAGCCTTTGAAGTGGCATCTCCCAAAATTTGTAACTTTCTATTTCAACACTGTTTACATAACTTACTATGAATCTTCAAGCCTTTAAATCTTTCAAATCAACATAACAAACAAAAAGCAAATTTAATCAACACAAAAAAGAATTGCCTAAGACAGAATTTTATTCTTTTGGAAACAGTTTTTAACAATTTTATTTTATTTTTTTAATTTTTACAAAATATAAGATATTCTTTGTAAAAAGATTCCATCTTTATGAAAACAAACTCTATTTGTCTCCAGGGGATTGTTAACTTTTATTTAAAAAATACATGTTGTATATTTTGTCAAAAATGACTTTTCAAGAAAGCAAATATTTAAAAGAGAGAAAAAAAAAAAAAGAAGAAAAATTGTATCTAGATTGTTTTCATGCATTTGTAAATCTTGAAGATGTGCCTGGCCAAAAAGACAAGTGGCCAAAACACATGTTCAGAGTATTTGGGATATGTAGCAAAGATAAATATTCAAAATTCCAATATAATTTTTTCTTCACTTTGGTCTTTTTTTTTTTTGGTTTTTTTTTGTTTTTTTTTTTTTGCTTTTATGGGCACAACATAATAAAAATACTTTTCTAATTTTAGATACAATACACAAAATCCTTAAAGGATTTTTTTAATTTGTAAAAGCATACATAAAACAATCCATCCAGCACTGTATTACAAACAGAACAGACAATCATAATATTATTACAAATATTTTATAGCACAACCTGAAACTACATGAACTCTGATACTCCATATTGATTAACTTTGGGTTTAAAAAAATTATAAAAATTAAAACTAACTTCCACATATGTCATATATCAAACAAAAATTTAAAGCACTAAGTCCTATGCTTTAAATACATTTTTTTTTAATATGAAGGAAATATATTGTTAAACATGTTTTATCTGCAAAGAGGTCAGAAAATAAAACTCAACTTAAAACTGCAAGTAAATCACTTTTAATACAGATGAGAAAAACTTTGAGAGAATTTGTATAACAACAGTTATGACCCTAAAAATTCATGCAGAACTAACATAAACTAAGACAGTAACTTTCATTTGTCCATTGCCAAAGTTAAAAGTTCAGTTTTGAAAAGAAAATAAATACAGTTTTTTGTAAAAATCTGACATTTGTTATTTATATTAAATTTAGCTTAGTTTGCTACAAAGGATGTTCACGTAGCATAGCAGTTATCCACACAGGAAGTATGATTTGCTAAGCTGAGTTCAAATTATTGTATTCACTTTTATGGGAAAACAACATTTTTATATATCAAGAACAAGTGGAAAATGTTTTTGTCTTTATAAATGTGTTTGGGCATATAGTCTAGCCAATTTCATTTAGCTTCTATCACTTTTGTTACAAAAGTAATAAAAACAATATCAGCTAGACTATATATGCAAGATATATATTAAAAAAAAAAAAATTAATTTAAAATTCTCAGTGTTCCATTTCTTTTGTGTGCATGTGTAATTGCATCCAACATAAGCATCACTTTAGTCCAACAAAGTCCAAAGGACAAAATGCATCGCACGAAAACATTTTCCAGTTTGTCAGTTTTTTTCCCTCTAAAATTCACTTTTATACAAATACCCCTGGGAAAGATATGAATCCATCTCTTTTTTTCCACTCCCCAGTAATGATTTAAATAGCAGGGTAGACTGGGCTCTCCAGCCATTGTTGGCAATCTTGAAGGACAACTCTGAATTTAAAATCAGTTGGGTGTGAGACTAGAGACTCTGTTACATAAAAGCTACTTACTACAGAAACCACAACTGAATCCCCTAACATGGATTAATTAAATATTCAAGAAGTCTGGCATAAGATCACAAATGTAGGACATCTAGCAATAATCAATTTAACCACTATAGTAATGTTAGATTGCTAACCACTGCCATATATACATCCAGAAAACTAAACTTTTAAATCTAGCACAGGGCTACAGTAATGAAAAAACAGCTAAATCTGTTTCTTTTTTTCTTGTAATGAGATGATAATCAAGACACTAGCAACAATAACAGCAAGACACTCAGTGAAGATGAAATTCAAATCATTACTATTACTATTATGGGTCCTCTAAATGATTGAGTCAACACCCCCCCCCACATAGAAGTAGATGGTGAATGATTTTATTTGAGTTTAAAGTGTCTGGTGTCTTTATGACCAGCAGTAAAGTTTATGAATTAAAATCTTCAAAGCAGCTGCTCAGTGAGCAAAAGGGAATAAAATAGACCAATTAAAACTTTTGGGAACAAGTGTAACCCAGAGGTTAGAAAATTCCAGAAGCTTATATAAACACAGGACTGAAATTTTGATGCATGCCTGTTGGTGGAGTACAGGCTATCCATTGAGAGCGTTCCAGACTACCCATTAGAAAGTTGTGAGGTGCACGTCATGATATAAAGATAGGCAGGGTTTGTCAGAGTTCTCCCTGACCTAAGAGAAACATCCATTAGTCTATCATGATCTGAGTCACCTACCCATATCCCAGAGCTTGCAAGTAAATCCCTGAATAAACAACCAAATATATTGGAAACAGGAATCGTTTTTCATTTCTGATGGTGATATTGTCACCTTTAGTTTGCTTGTGAATGTACAATGAACCTTTCCCAGATTTTTGTAACACATCAACACAGACTGAAATCAAAGCACAATGCAAGATGATTTGTCTGTTTTATGAAAGGGACCTGCTTTGTATTTATATAGGTAGCTTCCTACCAACTACTCTGTGGCAAACACCCAAGATTATAGATATTTACAGTCTAGCTCAAGGGGTCACAATAAGGATCAAACTACAAAGCTAACTTAATAGTCATAGCTATACAGTTAAAAATTTCACATTGATCTTTAGTTTAGAAAAAACACAAGGACATATGTGTGGGACACCCAGTGAGGATGCATCTCAGAACAGTCAGCTGTGAGAAGAGATTGCTAACCATTGCTCCATGGCAAGGTACTCTGCTTTAAAATGTTCTGATTGCTCTTCCTCTCATAGAAATATAACAATATTTTTTACTATTTTAGTAGATTATTATTAATTTATAAAAGTTAATGATAGACTTAAAAATTCCTTAATTTATTGCAACTATTGTTCTCATCTCAATTATCACTGATATTATTACAGACACAACTGTTCGTCTATAATAATCAAGATGCAAGAGTCTGAATTAATTAAAATATATAGACAATTCCTCATCTTAAAAATGAAAGACAAAAAAAGTCAGAATTTTATTAGACAAGATGTTTTAGTCATTGCATGTAATTAGTATGGCAGATTTTCATCCCCTCCTTACTCTAAATTTTAGCTTTGTACCTAAAGACCTTCCTTGAGTGGCTCACAACAGCCATCAATGGAATGACAGTAGGTAGTCTGGAATATTGTGGAATCTTATTTTGAGGAGTATGTGCTTCCCTACTCATACATATCATATCTGTTACTTCATTTGGAGGTCACAAGTACAGCAATGATATCAAGAGACATTGCCTGATGCACGCACCAGACATGATGTACATAAGATTGAGTGATTTGTTTTTTATGACTTATCAACCCTTTGCAGGTTATTTAAAGCCAGAAAATATTTTTAGATTGTAAGGGAGAGATGATAATGATTTAATGATATAAGTCTTACTAATTAACCCATAGCAAGGGGGAAAGAGGTGGATTCATACATTTCCCAAAGGTATTTGCACATCAAAGTGAATATAACAAACCCAACTGGAATTAGAACTTGGCTCCCTGATTAACAATTCCAAGCTGGTCACCCATCTACGTATTAATCAAGCTTGTCCTCAAACCTGTCATATCTGGTACTTCATTGGAATGTCACAACTACAACACTGATGTAACCACCAGACACGAGATGCATAAAAGGAGATGCACAAAATTTAAGAAGGATCCAGAACACAAGAGACACCAAAAAGAAGGCCAAAAGGTTCATGGCCAAAATGCTATGTAAAAATCAAACAGCTAAGACCAGAAAATTAGTCTGCTGAATTTATCATATAATAATAATCTTAAAAGTGCAGCCAAGCAACACCAACTAATTGTGTCAATACAACTTTTGTGAAAATTTAAAATTCAGTCCCATGAGGATTTTATGGAAAACAAAATAGTAAAATTTTAACTATTGTATTTGATATAATACATTTTTAATTTAGTATTACAGTATTAGCATAGTACCCATAAAAATGATAGGATGATTTATTTTAGGACCAGAGCCTCTAACAAGGATTAGAGTTGTATCTGTGCACTCAGTAAAATGTATTAAACATACACAAATTATACATTAGTTTAAGGGGAGAAGAGTGCTCAGTATTAAAGATGGAGTGTAAATAGTATGGATACATGAATTAATGTCATGGTCAGTTTCATGCTTCAAGCATTCTTCAGATTATGTTCTGAAAGTTGTTGCAATGTAAAACTGACAGCTACCATATATTGATTCTTATATACTATATATATATATATATATATATATATATATATATATATATATATATATATATCAGACTAATAGTGGGTAAATGAATAACAAAATGGGAAAAAAAAATTCCTATACATGTTTCATCACTAGCAGTAGCTAAGTATGTTATGTCAGTTTTTATTTATATTGTTATTCAATGACCTATATAACATGACATCAACAAAAAATATGGGCAAAATCAACTATATTTGATATTGCTTAGTTTATTTGAAAGGTTTATTTATGTAAATATAAATATGAATTCATTAGTTTTGTGACCTTTATGAATAGTGTATTTGAGCTTTATATATATAAGTTTTGTCTATTTATTTTAAGTAAGTTCCTTTCATATTGTCTGATAAGCTTAATCACATTATCATTGAAAGACAAAAGGAAATCACCATATTGATAGATGTTTAAATCCAATCTAAGCTTTCAGCTTACACGAGCCAATATCAAAGATAACAATTTCAATAAATGAAACATGCATTAATGAAAAATTTGCCTAAAAATATATATATATATATATATATATATATATATATATATATATATATATATATATATATATTATACGCACATCATTTTACAAATGTGGGTTATAGATATACTGATAGTCTCTACCCTCTGGGAACACAATAGCTTAATTTCACATGTAAAATCTGGGAGATATTTTTCAGGAGGGGAAGTAGTGGAGGCTTATATGCCAACAAATATTTTTTAATATTAACTATCAGCCAAGACAGTACAGTACTTCTGTTAATTGTTCTTAATTCATGTTGATTCATAATCAGAGATGTGATACTTGGAGTATTTGTTCATCCACAATGTCCCCACATGCCTAATAAAATGTTTAAGATGTCAAATTAAACTTTAGTTTTAAATTTATTTACAGCAAAAAAACAAGGGAGTAAAGCACAATTTTTTTGTTTTTTTAAGCTTTTGTGATTTAGTTAAACAATACACTTAGAACAAAATATATAATGAGTTATATAGTAAAGCAAGATCAATAATAAAACACATCCTTTTCAAAAACTAAAGAGAACAAAAAAAAGTAAAAGAATCATTTTTTAAACCACAAAGAGGTTTAAAAAAATACAAGAGAAGCAGGAAAAAGACTTACACCTCTCAAAGTTAACAAATAGGTTTAACAGCTTTGTTAATGTTACTGCCTAGAAAGGTCTTGATGGATTGATTGTTTTTTTTTTTTTTAGCTTATCCACCTTTATAGGTTATTTAAAGCCAGAACATATTTTGGATTGTAGGAAGTCATTTACAGAACACTGTGTTCCCAAGTGGTCTCCCACCCAAGTACTGTTCAGGCTTGACAATGCTTAACTTCAGTGATTGAACAAGAACTGGGCCTAAACAAGCAAGATGACAATGTTGTGTAGTTTGCTTATGTATTCATTCACCCAGTCTATATTCCAAGCAAACACTCTTTTGAAGTCAAGATTTCTGATGGGACATAGAAGAGAATTTGTTTGTTTCTCCCCCTCCCCTGAAAAAATGATCATGAATTCTCCACAGCTTCCTTCTTTTTTTTTTTTTTTAAAATATCTGTGAATTACCATGAATTTTTGGCAAAGATAGCAGTGATCACCTGCTGCCACCTTCAGTTTTAAATTCAGTTTTCATTCTCTTACACCAGCTGCTACCCAAGGATCATTGAACCTGGTATTTAACCCATAGCTGGAGGGAGTAGAAATAGAATAACACATTTCCAAAGGGCATTATTTTGAAAGTGAATACAACAGAGTAGGCTGAAATTTGAACACAGCTTGAGGATTTCCTATTGGTACCTGTTCCATTACCTAGACATCCCAACTCTGTTAATTCAGGTGTTGGTGCTGATCACCTTAAACCAACACAAACCTGTTTTCTTTTAAATATTTATTTTGTTCAAGTGATTCCAAGTATTACTAGAATTTAGGTGTCTGGCATAGAGAAATGGAAAGCAAGCTAGTCTCACATATCATTTAGTATAGTGAACTTGATGCTGACTATCACACTCTTATAGTCCACTGCCAAACTAAGCAATTATTTGTAGCTTCTAAAATTTGAACATAGTCATCTATTTAAAACCTAACCAAACTTAAGTCACTGGATCAAATGTGGAATCAAGCAAATTAGTTCCCTTAGACTTCTGAATATGGTAAATGCTAATAGATTTTTTTCTCTTGAATACAATAACCAGAGATAAACATACAAAACCTTAGTTTAACTCAGAAAAAAATTAGTCAAATTGATTTAAGCAAGAAATGGTCTTTCTTTTAAGCTAATGCTAAGCTGCTGTTCTTTTAAACATTAACTAATTGTTTTGTCATATAGGATTTTTAAAGATAGTAATATGAAAAAAAAATATGAAGTAGTATGAAAAAGCTTTTTTTTCTTTTTTTTTTTAAAACTTACTAATATAAATTTTGAATAACTGCCACTCAATTAGTCAAGTGAGATTCTTAAACAAGCATAATTTTATTTACAAAGGGATAAGTACCTCAAAAGTATACATCTCATATACAAATATATGAGAAATATGTGTGTAGATGCAGAAAGGGTGGCTCAAAAGAAAGCTTAAACTTTCTGCATATTTTTACCAAAGAGTCAGAGTCCACCTTAAGGCAGCCTCCATAGTTCCTCTTACCTTATCCTCATGATCTTCTTGTAATGTAAAATTGTAAAGAAAATATTTTCTCAAAAACCTCACACTACAACAGTTCATAATTGATACTTTTCAGGCAACTGAAGGTAAGAATCTGACAGAAATTCTGTGACAGTGTTGGAGATTGACTATATAATTAAGTGAGGCATGATGGAAAAGAATTTGAACATTTACAGGATTAAACTAAGTGCTGCTTCATTCATTAATTGTTCAGTGAGAAAATATTAAAAATTCGTTTGGACACATGAAAATCATTTAAGTCAGCATGTATAACAAGGAATTTAATAATCCCCACTCACTTAAAAAATACGTAAACTTTCTTTGGTGTCTGAGATTTAATAGACCATTAACTGTGACCAAGTATCATGAAAGCAACTCTATGTAATACTATACTAACATTACAAATTAGTCAATCTCCCCATCCTCTTAGGAATAAATTCTGCTTATGCAGCAGCTGGCTAGTGTGCATTAAGATTTAAGGAGACTAAAACCAACACCATGTAATATATATATATATATATAGAAATCAATTTCATTGAATAATTAATTTTTGGAAAGATGATTCTTTATAAAATATCCTAATTTTAAGAACTTGTTTTTCAGTGATTTTTATATAAAAGAAAAAAAAAACACAGACAAGAAAACAAACAAATAGCAACAAATGAACCAGAAAAATGCTTGGTAATTTATTATTCACATTAACCAAAACACACAAAAAAGCATCTTTAATTATTATACAAACTTAATGTGCAATCCTATATTTGATATGGGGAATATCAACCCCACCACTCAAGCAAAATGTGGAGGTTTTTAAATGCCAAATTACAGTGAATGATTGAAATCATTCTATTTTTAAATATGGCTCTCAAACACCCACATCCCAATCAATGACCTTTTTTTTTTTTTTTTTTTATTGAAGTGGGAAGAAATATCCTTTCTTGCATGAAAACCTATCATTTTCAATCTAAATCCATGTGGACACTCTTTGGATTCACAGTAAACAGGCTTGGATAGTCTCATACCATGTGAGTATTTTATTGCCACCAACATAAATGGATAAATGTTAATGAACACCACTGGAGGAAGTGGGGGCTTTTGCATGCAGAAAAATTGATGATGAGTTTGTATCACATTTTAAGCAAATTGCAGAAGCCCTTCTTTGAAAAAACAGTTAAATGTTAAGTACATCTATTCATTCCTTTTAGTCATTTTTGCTTTTATTTTTATCATTACAGTTTCACACAGAAAAGGATGAGCTTGGAGTGAAGTTGGAAGATGTCATAATTATAATGAAAAGACAGGGATCACAAGCAAAACATTTGCTGGGAAATGAACAGAAATAAAGCAGATGATTTTTTTTTTATATAGATTCTTTGGAATTGGTGGGAAACTCAATATGAGATTAATCTCAAGTGTGCCAAATGCTAAGGAGGAGACAAGTAATGGATTCAAAATGGTTCTGGTGGGAAAATATAAGTACATAATTGATATGTATGAGTGTAAAAAAGGTCCAAAGGAAAAGGATCATGTCCTTGGCATTGTAAGGAATACAAATGGTAAGAATTCACAATAAGAGAAACGTGTTATAAGTCAGACATTAGTTTTGATTTTCTTCATGATTTTATGAACAAGGAGGCCAGAGTTTATGATATCTTTTTATTTAATTATATATGAGCTTAGTCTGTTACAAGGCTGCAAATGTGGGGCAACTATTAAAAATTAAAATTCCTAGAATTAGCCACATAAACAGTTTGTAGCCTTGTGCCAATGAAGCAAAATTTCATAAATAAAAATAACAAATTTGAAAAAATAAATATAGAGAGGGTGATGAGAAGAAAGGAATTGATTTTTGTCAGAGAGCCCTTTCCTTTTTATTAAAAATAAGTTCTGTATTTGAAATGAATATGTAAAAACTTTCCAAAAGCCATACAATGACTTGGTGTGCAGATGGTGCAATGGTTAATAGCTTGGAATGAGAAATTGGTGCCAAGTTCAAACTCCAAGTATTTATATTCACTTTTTGCATATATACCCATAGGAAAGGCATAAATCCATCTCTCTCGCCAGCTATGGGTTAAATAGTAAGGCGGACTAGGCGCTCCAGTCAGGGTTAGCAACCAATTAAGGAGAGGGACAACTCTGAATTCAAAACTGTATGTAACCCTGGTAAAGTACGTAATATGCTACCAACAAAAGGAACATAGTGTTCACAATGACTTTGACCCTAACTGTGGTCCATCTGATGGATAGAGGAAAAACTAGAAGAAAAAAAAAAAGTATTGCTACATGACTAAAATCATTTTTTTTTTAGGAAGAATATTTTGGTGTTGAAAGTGAAGAATTTATACAAAAGCTCTATGATTTTGTTACTTAATGCTCATTGCTAATGATGGTTGTTAATTGGAGACAGGAAGATTATGAATTTTCCATAATTATGTCAAAATACTCAACACATGATTAGTAATTTCCTGACCCATCAAGGGTTGCCAGATTGAGCTATTTTTGAAAGATCAGTACTACTCAATTTTTCTTTCTGCTACTTGTGACTTAAATAAGCTAGGATAACAAGGTTTAGTAGCAGTGAGCTTTCAAATCTGGTAATCCTTAGCCTATCAGTATTTGTTGCATACACCTTGGGGTACAAGCCTAACATCTAAAAAATCCCTTACAAATCATATAATAATGCTTAAAAAAAAAAAAAAAAAAAATTGAATTAAAAAAAAAAATAATTAAAAATCTGTTATTGCAGTTTTAGTTTTTTTCTAAATATTCTAAGTGTATATTATAAGCTGGAAGTACAATACATACTTATAATATATTACCTACATTATTTAATCAGACCAGAGAAAAAAATCCTATAATAATTGTGTTTATCCCTCCCTTTATTAGTTCGCATAACCATTATGACTTGCCAATAGCTTGTTAATAATGGACTATTCTGTTTTGTGTGAAAAAGGGGAGAAAGACGCTACTTGGTGGTTTCAGTGAGAAAATGAAAGAGAAGATTGAAGTGGACCTAGAGAATCAGATTAAGCTGAAAAGAACAGATATTACACTTTGATTTTAGCCAAAAGGCTGAGAAGAAATGGTTACTCCGAGCAAAGTGCCATTTTTCAGACATACAGTATCAAATGATGGAAACTGAATAAAGCAACTGCTAAAAATCTAGTTACCATAAATAAAACATTGTCAGCTGAATTATTTTAAAATTATTAATTAGAGAAATGTTTGTAAGATGGGGATTTGGCTAGTACATATAAACAATGTAATGTTACACATGGTTGATTTAGGGGATTTCATAAGTACAATTGTAAAGAGCAGAAATTAAAATAAAAATTGTGAAGAAATCTAGTTGGCATTTTACTTACCAAAGAAAGATTTTACAAATACACAATTTAGCAGCATATGTTTGGAAGTAAAAAATTGCTTTTATAAGCTAAAAGAAAGCTAAGAAACTAATTTTATTTTTTTTTTTAACCAAATACATGATACATCAACTACACTCCCTTACCTTCTGCCTGGGCAGTAGTAACACTAAAACGCTGTTACACTCATTTTCAACCTTGATAAGGTTCAGCTACAGTCTCTTCTCATCCTTTAGATAAGAACAAGGAAGTTATTTGATGAAGATGTTTTACATTTCTTTTTAAACAAAGGAATTTACTGGTTAATTGATTGAAGAAAGTAATTTGAATAATTT